TCTATTTTGAAGTGTTTAAAATGGTGGTTTGAGGCCTTGTTGGAGTTAGGGGTGATCCAACCTCTTTCATTACTTATTTGCTAAGCTTTTGGGCCATCCTTTAAAGCTTTTGAAACCATCTTATTTTGGCCCTTTAACCACTGAATTCCAGAGGAATTTCAGTGGTGGAAAGGTGGTTTTGAGGTTTCAAATGAGAGGGGGTAGTCCCCTCTCCTTTTATCTTACTTGCATGTGTTGATGGCCTACCAATGAGCATGTGTTTCTCCCCTTTCGAAGCTTAGTTCCAACATGTTTTTGGGACTTTTTGAACCCGCTCTAACTCTGTTTTAGGTTGGTTTGGTCATTGGTTGTTTGCTTCTTACACTTGTAGTGTAATCTTACTTAATAGCCTTGAATGCCTAAAGAGTTAGTTCATCATTCTAGCATGTATTAGCTCTATCTCAGTATGTTTTTAATAATGTTTTGGCACGCTTTAACTCGATTTTGAGTGGCCTTGGTCCATTGAGGCTTGCTTTGTATGGTTGGAGTGTAAAGGGCCTTGACTAGCTTTGAGTTTTGAGGCCGCTAACATGTTGTGTATGTGATGATTGCATGTTTTGGCATCATTTGCTATGTAATTTCAGTGTATATAGTGTAGTCACACTCTCACATACTTCACTTCTTCATTGTTTTTTAGGGTTTTGTATTATGCCCTGCTTCTGGGCTAACATGTGTGCATGTTCTCTTAGTCTTTTTGAGCTTCTATCTCAGCATGCTTAGACCATTATTTTGACATGATTAAGCTCTGTCTGGAGCTGGTTTGGCCCTTTAAGCATTGTCTTGCATGCCTCTGGTGCAATACACTTCACTAGCTTTGATGCTTAAGCCTTTCAACATGCATTGGATGACTTGTTTGCATGGTTTTAAGTCACTTAGCATACTATTTCAGTGCTGAAATATATGTCATTGCACTCCATTATTTTAAACTTTCATTCACCTTCAAAGTGGCCTTAAGCCCTTTGTTGGCTTGAACATGAACTTGAGGCATTTATGTCTAATGGTTTTAATCCTCCCTCGAGGATTTCTACTAACCTATAGCATGATACTTTCTACATGCTCAAGGCACTCGAAGCTTAGGCTGTCTTTCAAATTAGAGGACTTTGCACATTGAACTTAACCGGTTAATGGACTAATTGGTAAGCTAAAATGACTAAACAAGAATTGAGCCAAGTACAACATGCCAAGATAAACATGTTGTTTGCATTGCATTTTGTTTGGATCGGACGTTAATCTAACCACAAGAAATGTGGCACGTTTCATACTCAAAGTGATGAAATGTGTTGTGTTTCTTGGTCGCCGACACCATTGATCATGCATGATAGGGTGGAGGCACTTTGAGTCTTATGTGCGCATTCACTAAAGCTTGTACAAGCTTGGTTCTTGGGCCATCATGCGTTGAGATGCTTGGTTGGTGGCTTGAGAGCCAAGTACCACACTCCTTTGAGCTTGAGAAACGATGGGGAGGGTGGTTGTACACACATGTCTTGCCAAATACATTGTCCTGGCTCTGTTGCAGCAAAGGCAGAATTCTGGAAAGAGAAGTGATCGGCCAGCCACTTACACTAGCCTACCGACCACATGTACTGGCCGATTGGCCAGTTGAGGTAGCCAACCGACTTGTTGAGGTTGTCAGCCGGCTACCTGCAGGAGAAATTATCCAAAATGTTCCTGTGTAAGGGGCAGATGTAATTTGCAAGTTCATATGATGTTCTGAGATCACCGCGACTGCAAATAGAGGCAACTCATGGAAAAGCAATGCATTTTCGGGAGAAGCAAACCGAGCATTCGTGTTTCCCATTTTTACTGCTTTACTTAGCTAGTTAATTTATCAGTTTTGTAATTAATTAGTTAATGTGCTTAGTTAATTTAATTCATCTCTGTAATATTCTAATTAGCTTAGCTTAGCTAGTTTCAATTCGGTTTGTGATAATTAATTAGTTAAGTTAGTTAATTAATTGATTTGTAATAAGTAGCATAGCTTAGCATAGCTAGTTAGTCTATTTATTTGGACCCTCCGTCAAGAGGGCACAATGTGGTAATAAGGGTGAGTGCGTGTGTGCATGTCTTCCAACCCCACTTTTTTCTCCCTTTTATTTATCCTCTTTCAATGGTTAGATTAGAACACATTTCAATTAGCATAGCTTATGCTTTGCATGTTTGCATCATTCATTTTTCTTGCATGCACCGGGGCTCGACGCATCATTCAAACTACATTCTATTTCAATACCTATTTAATATGTGTTCAAGGCATGTCATCAATTGTTGCATTCACATGGAATAGTAGATAGCCGAGCCTACTTAGCTACATTTTTGCATGTGTTGCATTAGGCATCTTAACATAGTTAGGATCATGCATGATTTCTATCTAGTTTTTCGTTTTGACTTGGAGTACACTGTAAGTGTTTACGCTTTAGCATACTTCCATAAGTGTGAGTGTTTCTATGATAGTATGCTTGCCATGAGGCTATTTGCTTTAGTGATTAACAGCATGAATGTCTGTGGGTGAAGGCCTGATTGCCTGAATTGGAACAACTCGATGATTGTGAGTTTTAAGCCCACTCTGCGAAGTGGCAAAATCACGTTTTAAATTTCACTTGAGGGTGGCAAATCCGCGCTTTAGCCTACCTGCGAGTAGCATTTTCAAACCATTTTAAAAAACAAACATGAGTTGTTTTATTCCAATTCTCATGATTGAGTCTATACTTGTATGCTGTGCGCATCACATAATAAATTAGATTAATAATTGAAATAAGAACACATGTGTTTATAAAACAACATATCATGGTTAGTAGAGGCCGATCCTTAGATCGGGCGAGCGGGGGTTCTCATTTCAGGACTTTCCCCTCTCGTACCCAAGTTCCCGAGTCGAGGCAATGTCACACCCCAAACTCGCCTCTAAAAGTTCGGGCATGACCCATACAGAAACGGACACTTAACCTGATATACATATCATATGGGGCCTGAACGGAAGCATTTAATATAATAAAATAACACAGAAAAGCATCCATTGAGCTAAACCTAACATGCCAGGATCACATTCGTGAGAGTCATTTATTTTTAGACATACCCATACACATACATGACCGCATGAACAAACATTGGTATAGAAAGGGATCATATACATACATTTTAACCTTAGGTAAATAATTAAAGTGCAAGCCAAAATCTTAACAAAACTTGACATAAATGCATAGACTTGGTCTGGGAGCCTGGGTCAACTGTGTAAGTGGTACAGCAATCTTGGAAAAATCCTGAACAAATCTCCGATAGTATCCGGCTAACCCCACAAAACTACGCACTTCAGTCACATTCGTCGGAGTCAGCCAGTTCACAATTGCATCAATCTTGTTTGGATCAACAGAGACTCCTTCCTTAGTTATAACATGCCCCAGAAATGCCACTTCATGTAACCAGAATTCACACTTCTTTAGCTTTGCATACAACTTCTTTTCTCGGAGGGTTTGAAGGATTAAGCGAAGATGGTCTTCATGAGCCTCTGCATTCTTGGAGTAAATAAGGATGTCGTCAATAAAGACCACTACAAACTCATCCAGATAAGGTTTGAAAACACGGTTCATCAGATCCATAAATGCTGCTGGTGCGTTAGTAACTCCAAAGGGCATAACCAGAAATTCGTAATGACCGTATCGGGTTCGGAAAGCTGTCTTCTCAACATCATCAGCTTTAACTTTCAATTGGTGGTATCCGGACCGTAAATCAATCTTGGAAAAGACCTGTGCCCCTTGTAATTGATCAAATAAATCATCGATCCGCGGTAATGGATACTTATTTTTGATTGTTACTTTATTAAGCTCCCGGTAGTCTATACATAAGCGGAGTGTTCTGTCTTTCTTTTTCACAAACAGAACTGGTGCACCCCACGGAGAAACACTCGGGCGGATAAACCCCTTATCCAGTTGGTCTTGCAACTGAGTCTTCAATTCCCTCCTTTCAACTGGTGCCATTCAATACGGGGTTTTAGAAATGGGTTGGATTCCCGGTAGCACTTCAATCGTGAATTCGATTTCACGGTCCACTAATTCTCCTGGTAATTCTTTCGGAAAGACGTCCGGAAATTCACAGACAACTGGAATCGCACCAATATTCTCATTCATTGTTGGCCCTTCCAAAACACTACATAAGTACCCTTGACACCCTTTCTAAATTAATTTACAAGCCCTAGCCGCAGAAATCACATAAGGTGGAGGAGTCATTCCTTGTCCCTGAAAAGTAGATTCTAATTGCCCTAGAGGGTGGAATTGGATTTGCTTTGTCAGACAGTCGATAGTGGCACTATATTCACCCAACCAATCCATCCCCAGAATAATATCAAAAGAAGTCATATCAAGTGGTAATAGATTAGCATATACACGAATATCCCCAATGAGAAGTTCACAAGCAGAATAGACAGAAGTACAGATCATGGAATTTCCCATAGGTGAAGATACACACAACACATAAGTCAATTCTTATTCAGGTTTATCTAAGTTCTTCGCAAATAATTTTCACACAAAGGAATAGGCAGAGCCAGAATCAAATAAGACGTAAACAGAATGACCATGAACCATAAATGTACCTTACACCACTGTTGTTGCATTCTGTACATCTCTCGGAACCAACGCAAATACCCTACCTTGCCTCGTAGTATCCTTATTGTTAGCGGGTTTAGCAATTGCCTTGGCATTAGGAGCCGGTGTAGACCCTACTGAGCTTGTGGCGGCTTTATTACCAGTTTGTTGATTCTTTTGCGGACAGTCTTTTATCAAATGCCCTATTTTGCCACATCGAAAACATGCCCCAGACAATCGGTGGCAAATCCCCCGATGCCTCCATCCACACTCTGGACACACAGGAGCTGAATTTTGAGGAGAGGTCGTAGTGTTGGAAGTCCCTGAATTTTGCTTCTTGTTTGGTGGAGTAGTTGACCCCTTGATCCATTGGTTGTTCTGCCTCTTTCCTTTCTATTCAAAAATCCAAGTCTGAGCAGCAATGTTCCCTTCTGCTATAACAGCTCGTTCTAACACATCAACATAGGTAGGCAACTTCAATACATTAACTCGGTCCAGAGTAGCACCCCGCAATCCTCCTTCGAATTTTCGTGCCTTCTTATATTCTGTATCCACCATGTGAGGTGCATACCGGGCTAGTTCCGCGAATTGAGCTTCATATTCGGTAACCGTTTTATTTCCTTGTCTCAATGTTTCGAATTCAGTCACCTTCTTGTCTCGCATACTCTGGGGAAAATATTTATCATAAAACAGCACCAAAAACCTGTCCCATGTCAACCCCTGATGCATTACTCTTGTAAGCATCCACCACCTCCGTGCTTCATCTTCAAGAGTAAAAGCAGCAAGCTGTACCTTTTGGATTTCAGTACAGGGGAAAACTTCGAACAATTTTTCTATTCCTAACACCCATGCCTCAGCCTTCATTGTTTCAATTCCTCCTTTAAACGATGGTGGTTTTATCTTTTTAAACTCCATCGTAAGTGTAATGGTGCGGTCTTCAGCGTGGAAATCTTGCACTGCAGGTGGGGGTACTGGTGGTGGTGGCGGCTGTGGCTGTTGTTGCTGTTGTTGTTGTTGTAGTGTTTCCGCCATTTCCATAATCATTCGTTCCATCCTTTCCAACCGTGTTGAGGTAGCATCTTCCTGCTCTTCGGTCCTTGTTCTCACCATAGTCTACAGAACAATTAATTACAACATACACAAAAGAATACAATAGACATTGATCATCATCGTTAGCATTAGCAGAAAACATTTAACGTTGCCATCAATCTTCCTTTACTACATGATGCCTACGTCTTTCTAGACATCCTGAAGCTCAATGGATCCGTGTGTGAGATAGCAACTCGTGCTCTGATACCACTTGTCACACCCCTAACTCACCCCTAAAAGTTTTGGGCATGACCTAATCCGAAACAGACATTTAACCTGCTATATAAAATATCCGGGGCCTGAATGGAAGCGTTAATATAAAAGCTTAACATATAGATATAACCATTGAGCTACTACACAAATGCTAGGATCATGACTCAGAATTAAACTCATAGTAGACATGTGTCTGATATGACGTTATATACACATTTACAAGTCCAGCCTAGAGGTTGGGCATACAACAAAATATTAGATACAACAAGTTTGGTCTACAAAACATTAGCACAAAATGACATGGTCTGAAAAAACTTCCCTAGCATGAAAAAGGCTTCTCCAAGTGCCTGGTTGCCCTTAGGTTGACAAAAGATAGATGATAACGATGCTAGGACTGACCTCCGAGTTGGTTTCCTACAGAATCAGACAAAATTACAAAGTGAGACAAGCTCAGTGAATAATAATACTTAAGCAGTTTAATAACCAGCTTTAGTAACAATGCATTCACAAAATGAGATTCAAAAGTGAGTCTGATATGGTTTTACTTGCAGAACGGTCGTTGGCCCAAAATGACCAGAACAGCCTTTCGGCCCAGAACAGCCTTTCGGCCCAGAACATACAATATGTACGTATATCTTTTCAGTATTTCATTTTCATTAAGTTCCAATCAATACATCTGCTAAAATCGTAACTGACGGAAAACAGAATGTTATTAACAGATATAGCGGAAAATAAATGTACATTCAATGTACTATTACTCACAGCGTTGTGATGGCGTGCTAGTTCCTTCCGGAGTGTGTCCTGCATACAACCATAACTTGTAAATTAGTTCTCTTTCTTCTTAACTCATTGAGGAATCATCCCCTGTGTTATTACCCTTCAAATGAATTATAACCATCTTAAATCATCAGAAAAAATATTCTAAAAATACCAGAGAGTCAAGCACGCAAAACTGAACCAATACAGTTTCTTTCTGAAAATAAGTCCCCTGCTCGAGCGCCAATTTGGCCGCTCGAACATACTGTATAATTTTAACAAAAATGCTGAAAGGTCGATTTTTGCGCTCGAGCGGAAATTCCTCCACTCGAGCGGACAGGGTAATTTCGGAAAAACTGCTGAGAGGGTTATTTTCCCGCTCGAGCGGCCGTAGCCCTGAATTGGGGCAGCTCAATTCCATACCGAAAATCCATCTTTTACAAACACAAAACAAAGCCTCAAAATGGTTCGAACATCAAATTAAGGTGCTAAATCACACAACAAATCAATCACAACCCTCCTTACACTTTCAATCACTAAATCCATACTCAAACCAACCATAATCTTTCCAAAGTTCCCTTATTTTTGGGTTTACATGAACAGATGCATAGAAAGCTACCTAAGCTTCTAATTCAAACACATAATTGAATAATCTCATGAAATTTCAAGGAAATAAGGGATAGATTTCCCTTCATAACTCAATTTGATTATCAACATAAATCATCTCCTAAAACCCTCACATCTACCATAACCTTCCAAAACAAAAGAAGAATCCCCAACCAAGATTAAGAGAGAGACTAGATCAAGAAATTTCCCATACCTTGAGTTCAATCTAAAGAATCCTCACAAATTTCCCCAAATTCTTCACTTGGAGAGCTTCTCTCCAACACTCACGTTTTCCCCTCTTCTTGGTTGCACACAAGAGATACTCTCAAGTCAAAGACATCTTAGAGTTTAAGATAGATATTTATGTTTACAATAAGACAAAATTTAATCGTTTAAGCATCCTAAATTGCAATTTCACAGAAAATCCCATTAGAGCTTAAAAATTATGCAGATTCCAAATATCAAATCAATTTTTGAAAATTAAGCCTCTAAGTTGCCCAATTTCAGATTCAAATAGTTTATTGTGATAGATAATTTCCTTATTCAACAGATAGGAATCCATATTTCTAAGTTTCATGTAATTCAATGTACTTTCACACAGAATTTCACAATAAGCATTCAAAAACACAGAATAGAGGACCGAAGAGATACCAGAATCATGTACGAGGGTCAGGTTATTACAAAATCACTAAGGCGGAAGACTCTGATATTTGCTAATCCAAGAGTGTACAAAATGAGACATACTAATCAAAGAACACACACTCCGAAATGAGTAATGACCATAGAAAGTACACACATATTAACATGTAATGGTTATTCTTATCAATTCCAATATGCACCAAGGACATCTCGAAAAATTCAAGCTTGCAAAACCATACTAAGAAAATCCTTTTGGGAATTTTTTTTTTTTTCAAAAATAAAGCAAGACAAAAAAATGAACAAGCACACATGTAATGACAAAAAAAAAAAAAACACACACACACACAGAAACCCAAAAACTAAAACAACAAAACAAATTAACACAAGTCAAGTTTTCTCACTCAAACTGCTTTAGTACGAACAAAGTTGTGAGAATTGCGGTTCTTAGGTGATGTCTTGACATTGTGGTTCCCTTCCCTTTCAATAAGAACCTGTCTCGACATGGTTTTCAACTTATTATTTCTAGGTCTAGGTAAATACAACCTCTGTTCATGTTTGGTCTCAAGCAAATCAAAATAGAAAGGTTTATTATGACCCTTAACCTCCTTACGACCAATGAAGTGTCTCTTACCCCATGAGATGTTAGAATTTCTTCCATCTTTATGAGACACTCTCCCATACAACTTATAACAATAAGGGTGAATATGACCATGCATACCACAATGATGACAAATAAAAACAAGGTGTACAGGGTGTACCTTCTTTTTTTTTACCTTACCAACTCTAGGAAGTTTGAGAAGTCCATCCTTATGTTGAATTTTTTGTTCTCCCTTTCCTTGAGTTCTTGTATCATGAGATATAGATGCACTCTGTTTTTGCTCTTTCTTACCACCAAAGCCAATGCCACTCTTGTCACAACACATTTG